GAATGAAATGTGACGCAAATAATATATTCATTAAGGATTCATGAGATTTGCTCGATAAGGTATAATAAGCAATACAACAACAAGTAAACGATAGAGCATTAAATTTGTATGATCAAAATAGTATTCCACGAACTTGACTACAAGAATTTGACTAATGCAAATATCTTGTTAAGCAGATATTTGGCTAAGCAAATCTAACTACTCGGATTTATTCATACGATTTTCGACAATGAATGATCTGCATTGTCGCGAAACCGCAATTATATTTCGAACGGAGTTCGTTTCTTTTTTTGTTTATTATTTCGCTATATATCCCCCCTCCATTCCTCCCCCTCCTCTCATTTTCTATCATTGTAAATACATAGTATTTATTAAAAATTTTTTTTTAACATCTTGCTCTATTCATTTTTCTTCTTTTTTCATTCTTCTCTTAATAGAACAATCTTGTGTGTATACAACAAGCAAGAGAAGTTAAAAAATATATCATGTATTTACAAGGATAGGACATAATCGATTATGAAATTTCTCTCCATTATTTGTTCGCTTTTATTTTGCCTTCTTTTTTCTTCTTTTTTTTTTTTCTTTTATATTCTTATATTTGCGCTTACTTCTTTGACTTGATCAATAGAATTCTGTTCATTTTATCTATCATTTCTACGCGTATAATATTTTCACTGTATATTCTAACGCACAACATATCAAATAATAAACACTGTCACAAAAATTTCCTCTTCTGTTTCAAAGAGATGAAATGTGATCAAGGGCTGTATATTATTTTATATTTACTATATTTTCTATCTAACATTTATGTTTCTACGTGCTTTCTTCCCTAACATTTTTCAAATTGTTTTATTTGAATGAAATCAAGTTTGTTTTTCACCTTTTCCTTATTTTTCAACTCTTCTTTTTTTTCCGTTTAGAACTTTAAACGAAAGCTGATTCATATATCAATCAAATAACTTATATATATATATAATTAGAATTTGTCAATTTAAAAGTTGATATATATACATATATATATATATAATATAAATATTAAACTTGAAAAAAAAATCAATTAAGTTTTTTTCAGATAATCATTCGAATGAATATTGAAAAAAATGGTTACGAAATATACAAATATTGTTAAAAAAAAACAGAAGATTTCACCTTTTTTTAAATAATTTGGTTAAACGAAAAATCGAAAATCTAAAAAAAGGAAATAATTGCGTTTTATGCGATGTCCTAATATCGTATCAATTTGATTCCATGTTTTGATCAAATAATGCTATTCTTATTCTCAATTTACTATCAGATAATGACAAATTGTGTCACGCCCAAACATAACAATAATGCAAGATGAACATCTAATTTCAATTTCACGTTTGATTTGTTATATTTGTTAAACATTGAAGAATGAGTGGTTTTTATGAAATCGGTTTAAAATCTTATTAACGCTTTTATTGTAGTCGCAAACTAGAACTTGACTGGCAAGTTGCTTACGATTGAGGTAATCCATGGTATAAGGCCCAATTCGCATCCAATTCGAATTAAATTTGTACACTATGTAATATACATATAATACATATGTTGATTGAATTTAAAATATACGTTTAGAATTAACATGTGTTCCATCTATGTGAAAAAACAGAGGAAAGACAGAAGAAAAGAAAAAAATAGAGGAAGAAGAAGAAAAAGGCGAAGAGAGAGAGAGAGGGAAGAGGTGAGAGAAAAAGAGAAATAAAATTTCGCAATAGATTGTTTGAACATAAATCTTTGGCGCCAGACAGATTAATCGCGATATAAAGCGATTATATTTTATCATTATACATCTATCTTCGTTGTTAATTTGAAAAATAAGGAAAGATATGCAATTGCAATAATGTTATGTGCACATTATAGTTCAATCGGCCACCGATCATTATTGTTGAACGAATCATGCGAAAACTTTTTCATATCCTATTGCAATTTAAACAATTGCAGTTCTTAAACTTTCTTAAATTGTTAAACAAAGCAACTATAAAAAGCTAAAAAAAAAATTAAATAAAATCTAATAAAAAAAGAAAAAAATGTAAAAAGAAAAAGAGAAAGAAACATCCAGGAGCCGGAAAACATGTTCGATCCGCCATTCACGTTTACTTTTGGCACTTTTTTTCCAATTATGGACTAATTTTCTAAATGATCGTGTATAATCGCGTATAATCATTCAAGAACACGTTTACATTACGATAGTTGACTAAACACGATCGAGCGACGATCGAACAACATATGTATATACTTATATATTTATAAACGCATGATGAATGTATTCATTTAACAGCTAAACGCTATAAATTTTGCACATGACATTTATCAGATGCATACGCTCGCTCGTCTTCGATTCGATCAGTTGAATAAGATCGTTACAACATGTTTTTTTTCTTTTTATTTTTTCTTTTGAGGGAGGGGGGAATTTATTTTTTTCTAACAGATTTATGCCAAATTATAATATTTTTTTGTTTTTGCATTTCAACTGTTATGCAACAGTATAATATACAATCTACGATATACAAACGTTAGTCTAATTGATTTTTTGTGCTACCTGATAATTAGGTGTACACACATATGCGTATTTGTGCAAATTTTTTTAATTTATATGCAACAGGCTCGTGTATATATATATATATATATATATATATATATATATATTA